CTATTGGCTCTTTTAACAGCTTTATTGAAATATAACACATATATTATACAATTCACATACTTAATGAAAATGCTTTTTAGTATATTCACAAAATTGTGCAACCATTTACAACTATCAATTTCAGAACATTTTCATCACCCCCATAAAAACTCCATACCTATTAGCAATCACTCCCCATTTTTCCCCACTCCAGCCCTAGGCAACTACTAACCTTGCTTTCTCTATGGGTTTGCCTGTTCTGGATATTTTATATAAAAGGAATCATACATTATGTGGTCTTTTGTGACTGACTTCTCATTCCTTCATAATCTAAATGTGATTAAGCAACCAGCTGCCCTTAACTTCCACAGACATCCCCAATCTACGGACTCAGAAGACCCTTTGCAGGTAATTTAGGGAATTTTCATTCCTCTTCTGTAAGGTCTTATGCAATGCCACTCCCACCTAACCCCACCCTACATCATCAACTCTATGTTCCTCCCCTCCCCTCCATGACCTTATTATAAAGACTTCTCAGCAGGCAAGATCAATTAATTAAATATTGCCTATGTCTTTCTCTGTAGGCATTGTAATTCCCCTTGGTGGGTGTTCCATCTCCTAGTCATTAAACATATTTTACCTCTCCTCAACCTACTGCCTGAGCTTAAAGGCAATGGGAGAATACAGAAGCTTGCATTATATAGGATATCGAGCTGGATAACTTTGTGTAACTAATTCCCCATCCAGTCTCCGTAAGTAAGAGGCAGACAGCCCAGGCAGGAGGCTTTATTTTTACCCTTTATCGATTCTTTTTATTTTAAGCAAAGTAACACATGCTCATAGTTTAATAAGTCCTTCTGTCATACAAGGTCTATCAAGACCAGAGCATTTCCCAGCTCAACCTCACCCCTATTTTCCTTGCTTCTGAGTCATCTACTTTCAGTTCTTTTATCTCAGGAGTTAATAAACAGCCCACAAGCTAAATCTGGCTAGTTGCCTGTCGTGATAAAGTTTTATTGGAAAAGCCATGCCCATATCGTCTATGACTGCTTTCATACCACTGGGCAGAGCTGAGTAGCTGCCACAGAGACCTATGACCCATAAAGCCTAAATATTTACTATCTAACCATTTGCATAAAAAGTTTGCCAACCCCTATTCTGGCTGTAGTTTTGACATGTGCCTCCATATTGCAAAATAACATGCTGTGTGGCTACTTTTTTTCCCCCTAAGTTAGGCAATATTTATTAACCTCCCAGTATGCAACACAAAGATTTAGCTCCTTCCCCAGTGTGTGCATCCACACACACACAAACACATACACATTTCCCACTCCTTCCTTCTTCCCAATATAATTACATAGTAATGTAGATCAGAATAGCTGGATATTCAGTGTTTGCATTATCATGATCATGTATGCTATTTAGGGCTTAGCTATGTAGTAAGTTACAATTATTTTCCTTTCCTGAACATCTTTTTGCTTTCCCTGGTGTTCGTGTCAAAAGAAAACTTTTGGAGTGGCTGGAGTGACTATAAAGATATCAGACAAAGTAGATTTCAGAGCAAAGAATATTACTGTGATAAAGAAGGTCATTCCATAATGAAAAAATGGTCAATTAATTAAGAAGACATAAAAATTTTAATAGTTACACACCTAATAACATAGTTCCAAAATACACAGAGCAAAAACTAATAGGACTGCAGGTCCATAGAGAACAGAAGTAGATTACTGGTTGCCTACTCTTGCGGGGGGAGGGGGGGTGGTAAATAGGAGTGACTAATGGTTACATGTTTTTTTTTCTGGGTATTGAAAGTATCCTAAAATAGCTTGTGATGATGGTAGCACAACCCTCTGAATATATTAAAAACCATTGAATTGTACGGTTTTGTTTTTTTTTGGCTGCGTGGCATAGCGAACGGGATATTAGTTCTGGTACCAGGGATCGAACCCATGCCCCCTGCAGTGGAAGCACAGAGTCTTACCCACTGGACCGCCAGGGAAGTCCTGAATTGTATGCTTTAAATGGGTGAATTGCATAGTATGTGAATTATGTCTCAATAAATCTGTTTAAAAAAAAGATGTTTATACTAAATAGAAATCTGGTTCTACACAAAGATATGGAGACACTGGAAATGGTAAATATGTGAATAAACATAATATTTTTATTTTCTTTTTACATTGACCTATTTATTATATAAGAGATATGATAAAGTATACATATAAACAACCAGATAGAGATACATAGGTGAGGTCAGGAAAGGGTGCTTCTGTCCTCATGAAGTTGGGGTGTACCACCCTCTGGGCAGGTGGATATGTTCACCAACCTGGAAGCTCTTAGAATTCCATACTTTTGGGTTGTTTATGGAGGCTTCATTATGTAGGCGTGATGGATTATTAATTTGGTTTAAAACCCCTCTCTTCTTCCTGGAGGATGGGAGGTGGGGTAGAAAGTTTCAAGCTTCTAATTATGGTGTGGTCTCTCTGGTGACTAGCCCCCATGCTGATGCTATCCAGAAGCCCACCAAGAGTTACCTCATTGGAACAAAATAACCCCTATCACCCAGGGAACCAGAAACTAGGGTCAAAGACCAAGTATCAAAACAACAGTTGCTCTTAGTGCTCTAATTACTCAGGAAATCACAAAGGTTTTAGGAGCTCTGTACCGGGAATCTGGGGCAGAAACCAATATATATGTCTATATATGTATATATATTTTTTCCCTCTTATTTCACTGTGCCCCAAGCAGATTTCATATTTGGCTTCTATCTAGCCTTACCCTAATCACTTTGGGGGAAAGAAAGACATTCAGCATATTCCTATATGCAAAGCTATATAATTCCTTTAATAATATATCTCAGCATTAATTCATTTAGAAGAGTGGATATCAAAATGTGGTCTGTGGACTCCCGAAGGTCCCTAAAACACTTTGGGGGTTTTCCAGGTCAAAACTATATTTCTAACAATTTGCCTTTTTCACTCATCCTCACACCAGTGTGCAACTGAACTTTGCAGAGGCTTCATGATGTGTGATGATGTCATCGTTCTGACAGCTAATAGAACGTGTGCCTGTGGATTCTTTTGCGTTTTCTTTCAACTTTATTTCTTCCAGTTTTATTAAGATATAATTAACATACAGCACTGTATAAGTTTACGGTGTACAGCATAATAATTTGACTTACATACATTATGAAATGATTACAATAAATTTAGTGAACATCCATCATTTCACATAGATATAAAAGAAAAAGAAAAAATACTTTTCTTTGTGATGAGAACTCTTAGGATTTACCATCTTAACTACTTGCATATATAACATACAGCAATGTCAACTATATTAATCATGTTGTACATTACATCCTAATACTTTTTTATCTTATAACTGGAAGTTTGTACCCTTTGACCATCCAATTCCTCCTCCCACTACCCCACCCTTTCCCGCTAAAAAGAAAAAAAACAGAAAAAGAAAAAGAAATCTGGATCTACACAAAGATACGCAGCACGGGAAATGGTAAATATGTGGATAAACATAACATTTTTCTTATTTAAAAATATTTTTAAAAGACAATTGACCGTTTAAAGCAAAAATGATAATTTATTGTGCATTTATAACATGGGTAGAAGTAAAATGTGCGACAAATACGGCACAAAGTCTCAGAGAGGGAAAATGGAACTATACTTTTATAAAGTTTTTATACTATACAGAAAGTGCTTCATTCTTACTTGAAGGTAGACTGTGATAAGTTAAAGATGTGTACCAAAAACCCTAAAGCAAAACCTTAAAAAAAAAAAAAAAAAAGCAAAGTATGGCCAATAAGCCAACAAAGAAGTTGAAGCATAAAAATCTTAAGCAGAGTCATAAAAATGTATTGATTAATTCAAAAGGGCGGGGGAAGGTGGAGGAGGGAGCACAAAAAACAGAGGAAAAAGAGAAAACAAATTGCAACTATAGTAATAACTACTTTAATGAAAATGTTCTAAATACCCACGTTAAAAGGAAGAAACTGCCAGACTGGATAAAAAAGCAAGACCCAACTATATGCTATCAACAAGAGAACCACTTTAAATATAAAGACACAAACTAATTAAAATAGGTTAAAAGTAAAAGGATGGGAAAAGATACACTATGCTAACAATGCTGGTTATATTAATATCAGATAAAGTAGATAAAAATAAAGAGGATCATTTCTTAATGGTATAGGGGGTCAATGTAAGAGGACACAACAATCCTACATGTTTATATATCTAATAATAAAACTTCAAAATACATGAAACAAAACATGACAGGAGTAAAAAGAGAAATAGACAAATCCACAATTACAGCTGGAGATTTTAATGTTCTTCTGTCAGTAATTCAAAAGATCTCTTTGCTGTTACTAGTTTAGAAAGGGCCGAGAATGAGTGGGTCCACAGGTGAAGTGTGACTAGCATTTTTTAAAAAGTATCATATATAATTTTACTTCCTATACCCAGTGGTACCACGGTATTTTATTAATCATTTCTGTCCTATAATGAGATACTTGGCGTACAGATTTTCATCTTCTGCCAAATTACCCTGAGCCAGGTATACTCACACTGAGTACCTCGGGGGCGCGAGGGGGGGGGGGAATCGATAGCCTAGGGCAGTGGTTTTCAAACTTGAGTATCAGAATTACCTGGAGGGCTTGTTAAATTCACATTTCTGGGCCCCGTCCCAGAGTTTCTGATTCCGTAGATGTGGAACAGAGCCGGAAATTTTGCATTTCTAACAAAGTCCCGGGTGATGCCGATTCTGCTGGTCCCAGGACCACTCTCTGCGAACCTCTGGCCTAAAATTTTGTCATTCCTTTCTTCACACTGATTTCGAGGCAGTCTGTGGGTTTTCAAAACAACGCCCAAAGCCAAGTATCAGATTTCCAGCAGCGCGGAAGCAACACAAAACGCGAACCCAGCCGGTGGGCGGGTTCTAGGCCGCCCAAACCCGCGCGAGAGCTCACGTTCGACGTCGGCGTCTGCGTCAGCGTCACGTCGGCGTCGGCCACGTTCAGCGGAGACGGCAGGAAGATGGCGATTCCGGGCAGGCAGTGAGTGACCTGGGAGTTAGGGTTAGGCTGGGGAGTGAGACACCACGGCGACTGTGTCTTTGGCCGAGCAGTAGAAGTGCGCTGGAAGTGAAGGGGCTGTGTCGTCAGGGATAGAGATGGGGGAAAGCGAGAAATCCTGAGGAACATATATTCCCATTCCCCCCCACCCGCCCCACATTTTCCAGGATGGAAGCCCGAAGTTTGAGGGAGAAACTTGTGAGGAAATAAAGGAAGTTAGGCTGAGGGGCAGAGAGCGAGACTTTTCTAATTTCCAAAAGCTCGGTCTGAGGCCCCTCAGTCTTGCTTCCTACCCCGCGCTTGAGTTTCTCCCCGGTTGGATGCTTTCAGGGGCAATGAGAAGAGAAACAATTCCTGGCTTTCTTAGAGGGCCTTGTTCTACTTGGCAGGTCAAGTTCTGATTACCGCCCTCCCTTCTCGGTTTAGGACTGTTGTGCTGAGAAGCCACAGAAAAGGGTAGGCATATAGGGAATTGGGGTATACGTTGCCACAAAAGAGACAAATGTTATATGTTCTTGGAAGTTTTATCTTTGATGTATAATCCTCGCTTGTGATGCGGCCTCCCGTGATTTCTGCGTCTTAAAGGTCAAAACGTGAGAAACTAAATGAGTTGGATCTGATGGGATGGTTCTTTCAGGTGCTCCAAGACAAAGCAAGTGTGCTTAATAAAGTGTAATGGCAATTTGCCCCGTGGCTACTTGGGTTTCTCAGTTAATGTAATCTTTTAAAAAATTTTCATGGGTGACATTAACCTTTATCCAATAACTTCTTTAAAATTGTGTACCCAATAGGAAAAAAAACAAGTATTTTCTTGACTCTTGTTAGATCACAAGGATAATTTAGAGCATTTTTATTTTTAGTGGACATCAACTGAGCTTTCCACTAACATGTTCTTTTTAAAACCTTGCTATCATTTCACCATCTAAAACATTTCTGAACTCTTCATTCACTTCCCTTCTTTGATTAAAATGGTATTTTGATTTTGGCCCACAAATAATCACTTGAAGTAATAATTATAAAATCTTAATGCATATTAGAACTTTTAGATAGTTGAAAATCAGAACCAGTGTTATATGTTCATAGGTTATGTGACATGTTTTGACTTGGTAGCTTCGTCTGGAAGAGGTAGTGGATGTATTATTGTTTAACATTTAAATATAATGGTGTAATTTCTATTTCAAAAAAAAAAAATGCAGGTATGGGCTTACTTTGCCAAAGAAAGCACAGCAGTTGCACCCTGTTTTGCAAAAACCTTCAGTGTTTGGGAATGATTCTGATGATGATGATGAGGTAAGGGAAACTATGTTTTTCTACTGCATTGTTGGAAATTTTTTTTTTAATTGAACTTGTGAATTTTATGTCTTTGCTTGCTTTAGATATTTGTTAATACAGCGTATCTGTAGCATTATAATTTACAGAATTATCAAAAAGAATAAAGAAGAAAGGTCTACTTTTTTTTTTTTTGTAGGTGATACATGGATAATCTAAGAGATTTTTTTTTCCCAAGGCTGTGAACTTGTTATTTTTAAGCAGTTATACAGAGTAATTTCAGACAATAATACTGATATATAACAAAATTGTTGTTGTAAAGATCCCTGGAAATAAGCTATTAAGATATCGCCAGTTTCCTAGAAATTTTTATTAGTAAAGTAGTTTCTTATGAGACTACTTTTGTGGTTACTCAGTGTCTGCTAAGTGTAGTTATTCAGTTGTAATATGGTAGTGTATAAAGTTAGTATTGATGATAATGACATCTAATATGAACATTTTATGTTTTAGCAGCCAAAACAGTGTTTTCCTATGAAGCCCCAGTTTACAGCAGTTTATAAAACCCCCAAATGTGTGCTTATTTAATACTTCAGTCATTTTCTGTATTTCTAAAAGACCTTTGTATCAATTTCGTACTTCCTTTGCTCTGGCAGAAAAAATCACTTCTCTTTCAGTTTTTACTAATTATATAATAGCATAGTTAGGTAATTGAACATATTTGATCCTTTGCTTCTTCTGTTAAAGAAATAGACTCTAGATGGCTTACTTTTTAAAAGTTGATAATTTACATATAATTTGCATATAAACTCATGGATTTTAAGTGTACAGGTTGGTGACTTTTGACAAATATATACGCCCCAGTCAAGATGTATTGTAGAATATTTCTCTCTTCCCTGAAAGTTCTTTACCGCCCCTTTGCAGTTAGTTTGCTTCCCCACATCATGCCCCAGATAACTATCTCATTGTGGTTTTGATTTGCATTTTACTTATGACCAAGGATATTGGCCATTTATGTATCATCTTTAGAGAAATGTCTGTTCATATCATTTGCCTAGTTTTAATTGTGTTGTCATTTTGTTATGAGTTGTAAGATTCCTTTATATATTCTAGATACAAGTCACTTATTAGATGTAATTTGTAAATATTTTCTTCCATTCTGTGAATTGTCTTTTCACATTCTTGATAATGTCCTTTGAAGTACAAAAGTTCAATTTTGAGGAAGTCCAATATATTTTTTTTCTTAGGTTGCTACTGCTTTGGTGTCATACCTAAGAAACCATTGCTTAATCCAGGGTCACAAAGATTTACACATAAGTTTTCTTCTAAGAATTTTGTAGTTTTCATTCTAAAATTACATCTGTGATCCATTTTTGAGTTAATTTTTATACGGTTATGAGATGGGGGTTCAGTTTCACTCTTTGCATGTGGATGGATATCCAATTGTCCCAACACCATTTGTTGAAGGCTCTTCCCCACTGAATTGACACTACCCTTGTGGTTTGTTTTAATATACAAATAATTTTTTAAAATCACTGTAGACACAACAGGAAAATACGACATGGTTATCTTGTAGTTTCACATAAATCATCCTGGCATACCCACGTAATGCAAAGCAACATATACTCCAGTTTGAGAAGGATGGGTTTATACAAGTGATCTAGAAAGTTTACTGATGAGATTGCTGTTTTCTTTTCCATTGTGAAATGAGGCTAGTGGAAGCTGAACGGTGGGTACATTAGAGTCAGAAAAGAAAGGCCTAGGGCCATTTTGCTCTTCCCTCCCTTCCTCCCACCCTCCTTCCTTTTACATAGAGAGACTTTAATGCAGAGTATTGGTTACATGGGTGATGGAAGACTTGAGAAGCTACAAGAGATGGTGAAGCAACCCAGAGATTAGCAGTAGTAAAAGGCAAGAAGTGATAAATGGAGGGATGCAGGTAGGAGTTGGACCTGGAGGCCAGAGGCTAGGGTTAATTGGTGGGAACTGGACTTTTCCAAAAGGAGTTGAAGCCACGGGGAGATTCAGTCTTAGATAGAGAGAAAGGCAGGGAGAAATACCTCGTCTTCTCCCTTTCTCCTACCGTCCAATATACTGTTTTTGTATTCTGTTGGTAGAACCCAGCCAGAAGCCAACTGACAGGGAGCTGCAGTTTAGTTCTTAATGAGCAGAGAATATAAAACCGGTCTTTAGAGTAATTTCCTTACCTATAAAACATCAGTCTGGTGAATTCCAGCTTATATTATTTGTATATTATTTAAATGTTTGTGAGCTTTGAATATAAAACTCTTCTTTTTAAAAATTTTATTTTATTGAAATATAGTTAATTTACAATGTTGTGTTAATTTCTGCTGTACAGCAAAGTGACTCAGTTTATACACACACACACACACACACACATTCTTTTTCATATTCTTTTCCATTATGGTTTATCACAGGGTATTGAATATAGTTTCCTGTGCTATACAGTAGGACCTTGTTGTTTATCCATTCTGTATATAATAGTTTGCATCTGCTAATCCCAAACTCCCAATCAATTCCTCTCCCACCCACCTCCCCCTTGATAACCACAAGTCTCTTCTCTATGTCAGTGAATCTAAAACTCTCTTCTTTAAAAATTAATCAGTTAAGAAACAATAAAATTATTGGTGTTTTGGAAAATACAGAGAAAGGTATTTTATGTTTCCCCTCCTGAGGAGGGCATTTGATAAACCTGGCGAGGAGCCTCTGAAGCAAATCCAACTATTCTTATTTTCAGGAATTCAGCAGAAGCAACTAAGAGCCCAAATTTAAGATCAAACTTTTATTCCAGTGGTCAAGGAGAGGGAGCCCTAGCAAGCGAATTCTGTTTCAGTGTGTGTTTGTATCCAGAGTTAGTTTAAAAATGGGAGAAAGTGGTAGTCCAGCACTTTAAATTATTATTTAAATAGTCCCTCTTTTTGAAATTATCAGAACTAAATAGAAACAATGATCATTTTTTTCAAAGGTAGAGGAGATGAAGAGTTTTTACCCCATATGAGTAAGTTTTATATTATATCCAAATGCTGCTGTCTGATAATAAGTGTTTGAATGGTTTTGCTAAGATAGTAGTGTGTTTGTTTCATTTTTTTCCAGTCTCTCCTCTCTTTCCAGTCCCATTGCCATCACCTTCATTACTTCTATCATGGATTATTACAGCTTTGTAACAATTTCCTTATCACCTCTCTCTCCTCAGATTCATTTCAAATACTGTTGATAGATTGATCTTCCGAAAGCACAGTTCTAATCACTGTTAACTTCCTTACTCTTGAACCTAATTGTGTTTAATATCTAAACTGCTCATCCTGGCATTGAAAGCCTTCTCTATGCTTTGGCTTCAAAGGATTTATTAGCATTTTCTCCTAACTGTGCTTCTCCCTGCAAAGTACAGTTATGTTTGTATTCTTTCACAACTCTACTTTTCTTCACACTGGAAGTCTCTCCATCCTATATGTCCAAATTATAGCCATCCTTTAAAACCCAGTGCAAAAGTTGCTTCCTTCAAGATTTTCCCCATTAGAAAGACTTTCTTTTTCTGACACTCTTCACCTTTCTTAGAGCACTTAGCTTTTTATATCTTGTATTATAAGTTAGTTGCATACAAGTGTTTCATTGTACTAGAGTATGAGCTCCATTGAGTTAGGATCCAAATGTTTGTGCTGGCTTCTAAGAATGAGTAAAATCATTTACTCAGATGTTTTAGCTGTCTATATTGTAAAGAGCCAGATAGTAGATGTTTTAGGCTTTGCAAGCCAAGTAGTCAACTTTGATCTCCTAGTGTGAAAGCAGCCATTAGATAATATGTAAATGAATGAGCATGACTAATAAATGTGTTCTAATAAAACTTTATTTACAAAAGTGGGGATGGCTGAGATTTGGCTGTAACTTGCTGACTCATGATGTATACAATTATCCAAAGTATGTGTGACAACCAGTATTTCACAAGTGTTATAAAGTGGCTAGTGACTAAAATAGATGTTGCGTGACAAACATGGAACTTCCTTTTAGATATTTCTCTGTGATAAATGCTTGCTCATTTTGCAGAACATAATGAATTTTTCTTTTAGTCTTGGCAGTTGAAATGCTCATTTCTAAGTAATAATCTTGTGAGGTCCAGTTTTATAATATAATTCATATGCCATGAAGAGGTATGATCCATACAACCTGAGACTTGTTGCTGTTGGATAAAGATGCAAAACTTCTAGATCTCTTTAAAAGAGAATATTAAGTTAAAATAGCTTAAGTTCATTAATTTAGTTTTTTGTGTATATATCAAATATGTTAGATAAATGGTAGATGATAATAATTGCACTTTGAGTACTCAGAAGCCATGGTATAGTCCTTTTATAGGTTAAGCTTTCATTTTCATAAACTATAGAACAGTTACAAAAACTATAAGAAAAACATTAAAACTCCAGCAGAAAACTAAGGAAAATACATAGAGAAATGTAGAAGAAATGGAACTATCTAATAAACATTAAAAATATTTAATCTTAGTATATCTAAGAAATGTAAATTAGGGCAACAGTAAGCTGCCATTTTTTTTTTTTTTACTGTGTTAGAAAATACTTGAAAAAATGGTAATGGCAAGGTTTTGGTGAAATGGGAAATTCTGAAATTCAGAATTTTGTTCTTGTAAATCTTTGCCCCTTTTTGGAAGGCAGTTTTGCAATTTGTATCCATCCTTTAAGAATCAAGTATATTTAACCCACTGTATCAATCAGAAGACAGAGGCTGTGCCAGAATTTTCCCTTCTAAAATTCTCTTCTGAGGAAGTTGCCAGAAGTTTGCAGTAAAGATTTATAGGTATTCAGAAGTCTTTATTTCATGGTTTTTTATGATAGTAAAATCTTAGGACCAGTCCGACTTTCAACAGTGAAAGCATGGCTAAGTAAAGTGAGGTGCAGTGTATATTACAGAATTGTTAGAAATAAAATGAAAGGAAAAAAGAGTAAAGAGAGTATTTCAGAATATTAATGGTAGTTGTTGATGGTGGACTTATGAGT